AATGTCGAACAGAAAGCAGGCGGCAATAACAAATTTCTAATCAAATTAAAGGTATGTCACAGAGAAAAGTTTTTGTGCAGTTTTCTTTGTCCTTTCAATATTTTGATTTTCGGATAATTCTGACGTTTTTGCCGGTCCCATGAGATCCGAATTAACGAGGTTTTACTGTACGCTATAATATCGCCGCGAAATCTAGCCGTCACGCATACTGCGGTAAAAAGCGGAACTATTCAGCGACGCAAGAATTTGTCGTTTCAAAGCCGATTTAAACACAAACAAGGAGTGAGCCTCCAACGGCACGCGTTTGTTAACCCCACATCGCCTCGTCGTTTGAGACTGCCCGTTCACGAGGCTTTTGTGTTGCTAGTTTACATCTGTCCTGACGTTGACAAGAGAGAGTGACTGCGATGTGTACGTAAGAAACGACAAACTTACTAGTGGATGCTCTGACTGGGCAGCGCTAAGCAGATCTGCTGATGTCAATAAAGTGGAAGACCACGGGAGGACACTGCCACGCAAAACAATCGAAATAGGAAAAGCCATAAAGCAACAAGAGTGGAAAAAAGCCTCTTTCCACCAAGATGTACGCGACAACTTGGGGTCCCGCTGTCTACCTGCGTGCGCACGCCGCGACACCATTGCACGCTTTCCGGGCTCGACGGTGGCGTGCTTTGCAGAGAAGAGGCGCAAGAAACGACGCCAAGCTGCGGCGCGAGAGCTCAACTTCAAAATGTCTTGTTTTTTCTCTTTAAAACAAAATTATTTTCAAGAGGCAATACACTCTCCTGTAAAAGTCACCATGTTTCGTATTTTTCTTTGGGCCACCCCGAGGCGGAATTGACAAAACGCAAATTTGCACTAATTTTTTTTTTTTTTTTGCTTGTAAAATATCGGGCAAGCGCCCACTCAAACTTTGGAGATAATCGCAAAAAAATGGGGGATGGGCGCTTGTCCGGTCTTCCATTGTACATATGACGCAAATATGACATACTGTGCGTATTTTCTCAGATCTTACAAATTTGGTAATGGGCGTTTAATGTGGAATGGGCAGATGCGCGGTATTCTACGGTAGTTGTACGGTTTGAAGCCTTTTTTGAGTACAGTATACCTACAGGGCTGTCAATAATAATTTTTATAGTCGCTTGCAGCAACGAGATACTGTAAATGACTTAATTTTTGCGGGCTCAATATTTCTCGATTTAGGTCAAAGCTGAAATTTCTAAATAATTCGCGGGTTCTAATTTTTGCGATGCAATGGGATCTTAATATAGATGCCATGTGTTTACATTTTACCAAAATCGTTCACGGGGCCCCTTTTTCGCGAATTGTAGCCGATTCACGAAAATTAGGTCCTCACAAAAATTAAGTTGTCTGCAGCAGTTTGTAACAAAACTAAAATATGCTAAAATGCTCATATTTTCCTTTTTTTTTTAATTGCTTTGCGCATATTCAATTCCATCATCCTTATTACATAGCAATCCAAATACCATACTATTTTTAGGCAAAAATATTCCAGCGTTCCACGAAAAAATATCTTTTTTCTCATCAATTATTAAATGAGTCCTAGTTTCACTCCCTTTTTACGAGTTCAAACCGCCAGCACCCGATAAAATTTGTTTTTCGTCAAAGACACTTTAGAGAGGCACCACAAATATTACAGTGAAGAGTCATTAATTTTATTTTAGAAATCGGAGGTGGCCGTGGGACCTTTGGCATGGCATGGAGAAGTCTACGTCGCCTGACGGCCCCCGTCGTTTAGGCATCGCATTTCGCGCCGCCCTCGGGTACAAAGGGCACAATGGACCTGCTGGAGGCACCTCCGTTTATTACACGAGATTATTACACGATACCCCCGTTTCTTTCCTTACAGCTGGGAAGACGGACAAGGTGAAGCGGCAGCAAACTTCATTCTCTCTTTGGGTCTAATCGTGCCAGCTATCGTCGCAGGTGGCGTGCTGTGCGGCGAAGAGCCGTTAAGAAGCGACGTTGGGATGTGGTGCGAGAGTTCAACTTCAAAAATTGTTTTCTCGCTTTAAACAAAGATAACTTTGATCAAACTTTCAGAATCAAAAGACAATCGATTGTTCTTCCAAACCCACCATACTTTGTATTTTTACTTGGACCACCTCAGGGTAAAATAAACGGCTGTTTGTGCGTCCAAACACACTTTCTGGCAACTTCAGGATTTTTTTTTTTTCTGGAAGATATTTCATTGAGCCGTTTTAGACATTTTTTTATAGGTTATATACCTGCAGGGCAGCCGGTAAAATGTTCTATTAAGTCATGGGAGCAATTAGATATTTTTTATTAAAACGACAAAAATGTTAAAATTTCTACAAAAATTGTGTTTTAAAAAAATATTTAAATTATACAAAACTGCACAAGCCCAAACACAATGTAAGTCGAAAGCCGTGCAAATTTAAGAAAAAAATATTGTTGGATGTTTCATAAAAAAAAGTGGATTTTTCATCAATCATTAAGTGATGCCTAGTTTCACGCTCTTTTTAAAAGTTAACCCCACGGTCACGTCATCAAAACATTTTCTTCGTCAAAACTATTTCAGGGCACGGATACGGACATTGCAGCAAAAACCCTTGCATTTTTGTTTTAGAAATCGGAGGTGGGTTGAGTGCAACGTCTGGGACATTTGACGTGGAATCACCCAATGCCATATTTACTCGTGTACTCGAGTGTAAGAGATAAGGAGGCCAGAAGGACCTTGCCTAGTCAGTCTCGCCCTAGCTATTTCCAAACATTCTAAGTCAAATATTGGAGATGAAAAGCATAGCAGATAAAGACAGGTGCGCCGTATTGCCGATTCATTCACCGCGATAGCCAGCTATTATGCCGACACACCTCGCTTACTGCTGTTGCCATCAATGCTGGCCGCTGCTTTCTCTGTGTACTTTTCTTTTTCGTTTCTGGCACAAGTTTGCCCCCCATTATATCTTTAGTTGTACCCGTTTTCTCCTGCCTCATCGTCCGTCATTTGTGACAATACGAACATAGAAAGTGGTCACAATAACACTGCCTTTCCGAGGTCACATATTAAAATGGATGGAAGGGATAAACCGAGCAATGTAAATTGCTCACTTTTCACTACGTTTCCACTCGCTCTCATGCCCCACCGCTTGCACGTTTGCTTCATCTTTCCATCCCCGATGAAGCTAGGTAACGCCTGAGAATGCATGAGGAAGCTAGGTAATGCCTCAAGAGTCAAGTATGGAGTCCCATTTGCAATCTGGTACAATTTTTATTTCAAACTGTGGATTTCTTGGGAAAGCATTACTGCGTGCATGGCGGAGTTAGTAGGGCACACAGCTGCCACCCGAAGGTACAGGGTTCAAACCCCACCAGTCCTGTTCTTTCTTTTTGCCGATATTTACTCTTCTATGTAGTTCTAGTTCTTTCAATTCTTTCTCAGCTGTGATTGCGTGCTCAAACATAGATCTTTCCTGAATGTGGTCTATGCATAGAAGCAGCGGCAGTGCGCTGCTTCGCCTAAAGCAGGATATACGGTATTATCTTGTTTTATTTGAAGGCACAACTTCGCCTCATTAATGTTTATTTCCAGTTTCACACTCACCTGCTTTTCTTAATCTTAACAATATCTAATTGACTTTTTATTGAATTACCAATATATGTTCATTAGTATAATGAATAAGGTTTCAGCTCTTTTTCCAGAAGGGTGACACTTTTCAGGTTGATGTTGCCAAATACTAAACAATACTCCAATGTTCCCTTCCTTTTTTTTTTTATTTTTACATTTTTTGTTTTGCGACTGTGGTACCAGTTTGATTTACCCATATTTTTGTGCGATGTAGTATGTTTCTTTTGTTATTGCCTCGTTTGTCACATTGTGTTACATTACACTGCATGATTGTAGTTGCCTTGAACTTTGAATAAGCAGCAGGCAAGTTGAGTAATAAATAAATAGATAAATAAAATAAACCTCACGAAAACTAAGGTGTTGTAAGATACCAAGCAAATGCCCCCTCCAAATTGAGAGATTATCCAATCAAAATAGGAAGGGAGCCCTTAATCGGTTCGGGAATAACATTCAAGATGGCGGCAACAAAAATACTGTATTTTCCGGTGTATAAGACGCATCGTTGTATAAGATGCACCCCCCCCCCCCTTTTTGCAAGTTTCTAAGTAAAAATTAGTATATAAGACGCACCTGTGTATAAGATGCGTCTCTAAGAACACTTACGAAGCGACAAATTTGTGGGGAAATAATTGCACAACCACGCATTAAGAAACATCCTGCATAATTGCAGAAGAAACATTTTATTACTCGAAGTCTTCAAAGTCGTCGTCTTCCGACGCGCTCTCAAAAACTCTAGTTTGGGGAGGTTGACTTGCATTTAGGACGCATTGTTCACATTGAGCTGTCATAATAGTTAAGAAAAGACTACAGCATCAACAGGAGTTCCATCAAAGTTTTCCAAAAAGAAAAAAAAAATATACATATAAGCTGCACCGTTGTAAAGATGCACTGCAAAAATTTTTGAAAAAAAGTGTGTCTTATACATTGGAAAATACAATATTAAATTTTCATTAAAGGGGGGAAAGGGGGGGGGGGGGGTTTGCTTACAAGAGGGCATGCTCAGTATTTTACAGTACTTTTTTTTTCCTCCAAACTATTTTTCAGTCCTGTAGGTTACACAATAAATTGCTACTGACAAGCAAACATCGAGTTTCTTTTCACTGTCCAAAAACATGATTTTTAGGCAAATAATGATGAATTGCAGTACATCATTAGCTGCAAAAAATAATGTGCGGACAATGACACTAAAAGCTCCCAAGCAAGCTGGGAACCACAAAAGAGTATTAGCGACATAAAGAGATCACCTGTTTTTGCCAAAAAATGGGGCCCTCAGTGGTCAATAATTTGTAGGCTAAAGCTACAATTTCACGATTATAGCTTTAGCCACAAAAAGCAATAACTGATTTTTGTGGCTAATAACCAATTAGCCGACAGGAAAAAGGGCCTGTACCTTCGCACTGAAGCCCTTGGTCGGCCTCTCCGTCTCCCTGCGGTGTGCCAGGTGGGTGGCGCCAGCAGCCTTGGGCATTCGCACGGTGCTCCAGGTGGCATCGTCCAAGTTGAGCTTGAGTGCCGGGGCATTGGAGGCCCTCCGCGCCAGGGCCGGCGTGGTCTGGGGGGACTCCCTTGGGGTGGTGTTCTGGGAGGTGGCGGCCGTGGCTGGCTGGCTGGGCTCCTGGTCTGCCGACGGGCCCGCCACGCTCGCCAGGGGCAGCAGGTCGTCCGTGCTTGCCGCGCCCAGGGCCTCCTCCCGGCTGCGAAGCGAGAGGAGGCCGGCCTGACTATGGTAGCCGGAACGCGTCTCCGACAGACGTGTTGACCGCATACTAAAAAGCGGTCCCTCGATTTCCGCACGACAAGGTCGTAGACGCGTCACACCACCGCCGGCCATGATCCCGGCGGTGTTGCGGTAGTGGATGCGGCAGACGCCCGTTCCGCTGCGGGTCGCTCTCCGGCTCGACGGTCCACGGAAGCTTCGGCAGCCGGGAGTTGGGATGCCGCAACAACGGCGACTCTTACGTTCACTCGAGCTCTCTGCCGAAACTTCTAAACTGAACCGGAAGGATCACGGCATACGACAGCGGGACACGGCGGCTTCTGCGACGTCGTTTTTGCCACTTCAGGACTACCTTCGACGCACGGGTGGGACGGGATGGCAAACGCACCGGTCAAAGACGCATTTCGGGCACTGTAGCCGTGGCACGCGAACGCAGGGAGGACCGGGGGTGCTGGGCCGGAAGCGGTTTGCTTTGCCGTCGCTCGAGAGGGTCTTAGCGAGGTGATCGAACTGAGGGTTGGTTCCATGACACACTACATACCTTCCGGTATGCCGCATTTCAGCGCGATTTCATTTCAGAACGGCATCCGCGACTTTCCCCACTTGTTTGCATACAGACGCAGGCATCGTTTTTGGTGTCGGTGAAACGCACAAGCATGGCAAGGGGCTCCGTCGACCGCAGAACTTGGTAAGTATGCACGGGGCAATATTAGGCACCATAAACCCACACTTACTTCACTTCTTTTTCCTTTCGAAGTCGCCCCGCTAATGGATCGGCTTCTCGATCGCCGGAGACCGGCATGTACAAAATTTTGGTACCAGCCAATGCGCTTTTATGGTCCCGACAAATCTGGCTGGCCCAGTCCATCACAATGCAAAAGAACTCAAGCAGTCTAGAAATCACTGCATTCGCACGTAGAAAGAAGTCCGGACAAAATTCGTGAACGTGGCGGCTGGCGAGATTTCTAGCCGGAAGTACATCACTAGGAACCGTCCTATACGCTTGTTTGGCTGGGCCAAGGGGCACACTGGAATGATACTAGTGGTGCTGTGCCACAGCAGAAAATCGCCCTAGTGTGGTGTTGATTTGTCCCGTCAACAGCATATTGCAATGTTATTGCGGCTTCCTCCCTGTTAAAAGATTGGTTATTTTTTAGGGCGGCAAATCTCCGCACAGGAGGGTTGCTTGCGTGGCAAGTTTCCGGGGTGGACGAGCTGATTCTGAGAGAATAATTGTTGACTGCAAAGCGCGTCTCACAAGTGCAAGACAGCGTAATTTACAGCATCTGCCTTAAGATAAATGCTGTTTTTCTGCGCGGTTTCGCTCGCTCTAGGAAGTCTGAGCTATTCGGGTGCAGGTGAGGGTGTTATAGTGTCTAAACTGTCTTTTTGCATACAGCCGTGCTATCTCATACGCTTCTTGAGCTCCAGCAAGTGCTCTGCCAAAGCTGGAGTTACTGGCTGCTGTAAGCATGATGCAGCTCAGGGACGGCGCCAAGGGGATGCGAGGGGTGGCGGCGCCTCCCCTAAAATTTCTTCTGCCACCCCAAGTTGAAGCAGCTTTGTACACAAATAATTGCCTACGACGTCGGCTTGAAGACCCAGTGCAACGAGTGTCCAGACTTTAGAGCCGTTCATGCGTTTTATTTATTTTTTTTTTTCTATTAACTTCCAGCCACTGGAAGTCGTACCGCGGGTAGGGTGCCTTCATGTCTCCCTAACCGCGGGCGAGTAAGCTATCAAGCGCTTTAGAAAAAGCAGCTTCCCTTTGTGACGCCTGCTGGCTTTTCTCCGTATTCCGCTCTGTGGTGCTTATCTTCAGCGGAGACCGGAGACGTGAACGAAGGGGAGCTTAGTTAAAGTCGAGGGGGCTGTCTCAGAAAGGGAAGCAAAACCTGGTTGTGAGGCTGAGCACAGGGGGCAGAGGTCCCTGCTGTGATACCCCCCCCCCCCCCCCCCCCCGTCTTCCTCCTCGTGCCTCCGCATTTCCCTTTTCAATGAGCACACCGCATAAGCTATCTTGCATAAGCCCGTGGGCGTCAGCACCTCAAAGCAACCGCCCCTCCCCCCCAATTTGGTTCGCCTCCCCACTGCCCTCCCATTATGAAGATCCTGGCGCCGTCCCTGATGCAGCTGTTTGAATTTACGTGAATGCGGTCATTAACAACACCTGCACAGCCAGACCACAAGAATGAGGCACGCCGCTCAAAAAACAGAAGCGGGGTGCAAACATGACCACCGCTCACCTGTTCCTAGGTGTTCTGAGCGGGTTGAATGACAAAGTTAACTATTACTGCACACTGTGACAATGTAAGCTGCCACGGCATGTGGAAAATGGAACATGTGTATGATTCCCAATTTTCCACGTTGAGTTTGAGCACATGTACAGCAGCCGTCCAAACGGCAGAATCTTAATCCAAGTATGTGCAGCAGTAATCCACTCAAATGTTTATAAGTAAAATGCACCATCACAATAGACTTGCATTTAAGCCAATAATGATGTTTCTTTGTTATTTCTAAGTGATTTTAAAATTATAATTTTAGAACAGCTGCAAGTAAATAAACAAATTTTAAATGTAATCTTTTTTTTTAGTGCTGCTTAGGCTTAGTTATACTTGATAGATCTCAAACTTCCACATAGGAAAAGGGCTTCAATACTGCTTCTCCCCCTATGCAAGAAATATAGCAAACTCTGATTCTCATTCATAAATCTTCAAATGGTGGCCCAGGTAGGTTCCACTGTATAAATAGTCTATGTATGCAAGCTTGTGCACAATGTCAGCTGGGATTCTTTGCCTCATTTTACCTGATGTGTCTTTTGTCGCCTAGACTCCCCTTTTTGTTAAAAGCATCAGGGAACAACGTTGGCAGGTAGGCTGGACGGGTTTGGTTCTCAACGTTTTATAGACTTACTAAATATTCCGGTTCCTTTTGTTGGCAACCACAGGAACCATTGGATCTATTAACATGGCAACTAAGCGTATTTGCAATGCCAATTCACGCAGAGAAACGAGGAAGCAATAATTTGCCCTGTCCCCTGCACAGCCAATTCATGCTTCCCGGCGATCTTCCTGAAATCACCTCCCGGGAAACGAATAAAACACCATGGCAGATACTTCCCTTCGTGTTAAAGACGCTACTGCAGCAGTTGACTACCAAACCATGTCTGGTGCCCCATTCTTTAGCCCTCGGCACCCTGCTTCCCAGAAGAGGGAGGCCGGCATGACAATCTGTGCCAGCCACCCACGTCGTCTACTCCAACAACTGCACGCCAAACTAGAACAGGAGAGCCTTGCCAGGGAGAGGAGCGGCGCCGTGTAAGTGCAACGAAACTTCGGCCGAACAGCCCCTTTAGGGGGTACTTCGTCCAACTTGTTTTCCGCAAGGATTGGTGCTTACCCAACACAAGGCATGTGAACTGGATTCTTTACGCCATCTTCTTCGACTAAGTGCAGTGCATAGATTGGATACAAGTGCTCAGCGTTCGGCTGGAAGTCGTGTTAAATTGGGCCTTTACTGATTGAACACAAGCCCCAACCGAGCGCCATGTCAGCAGAACAAAGGAGCAATTCATGTTGTTGTCCCCATCAGCTTAGTTCTCAACTTTACCACTACAAGTGCGACAAACGGATCTCTTTCTTTCCCCATAGCCCCCCCGAGAGGCGGCTACATTTGAGGCTGGTTCGCAACTTCGCGTCCGACCGTGACCGACCGTGACCGACCCTTGTGACTGCTTACAAAGAGACAACACGGTTTCGCCATCTGTTGGGTGGCCCCCGCATTGCTGTGCAAATAGCCCCTCCAATGCTCCGTCTTTAACTAGACCTAACTGCGCACTATCTGTGGGAGTTGGCTGCCTACAAGATTGCCAAGTTTAGTTCAGATCAACAATAAAAGAATGAGGAAAAACAAAATGTGCCCATCAGAACTAGGGCTACTCGAAAGATGGGACCAGTGTGTTATCTCGTCATAAAAAATCATAAATTTAGACGGTTTAAACTGGTTTGTGCACCTGTGTTTGTGGCGCCATCTATGAGGTGGCTCTGGAACTGCATTTCCCTAGAGTGAAAGTTCTGCACTATATGCGGGATGAAATATACACACTGTCTAGGAGAAACAATTGTTTTTTAGCATTGTCAAAAGTTTTTTGAGCTTACGGTAAAAGAATGTCTAAGAAGAAAAGAAATTAAAATGTACGGAAATTGATGGTGTTCCAGGGCTGCTCGATAGATGGCGACAGTGCATTCTTTCGTAGTAAGTGACCACTAGGCTGCACAATGCACTCGGCTGCAACCAAACGCAAGTGTGTGAACCGGTCTTTAGATTGCTAAGGCGCATTCATACCTGTGACCTGCAGCAGTCGCGCAACCCCCTTTTGGTTGCAAGAGCGGTTGGTTTAGAGCAGTCACTCGCTGATTGATTTTTCGGCTTGTGGCAGTTCAGCCTATCGGTGACACCTCACAAGTGACATGCGACTGGAGGCGAACTCCAGAATTTTTCATATTGGGTGGCCTTCGACAGCGCCCCCACCCCCTTTTCCACAACTGTTTGAAACTAATGCGGAGAGCAAGTCGTCTCCTTCTTGTGCAAGGGTTGCGTTGACATCATAACGACACCAAGTTCTGATTGGCTCCGATTTTAGAATAGTGGGCAGGCCTCAAAGCAAGCTGTCTTGAGATCTACCCACTACCCTCCAATCAGAGCCGATCAGAGCTCGGCATCGTACGTCGTAAAATTAGCCGAAAAAATCCGCGCCTGCGCACTTAAAGCTCGAACTTTCGCCAAACATACATTTAGTGGGTCAGTTTTGCCTCATGAAGTTTGAAGGCGTAAAGGCCCGTTCACACTCTTGCAACCGAGTACGACCGAGAGAAATGAGATCTGTTAAAACTTCTTAAAATTTCTTAGGACGAGGAAACACACTGGCATTCTGGCGCCATCTATGCGGTGAACCTGGAACTGCATTTCACAAAAGCA